TAAATACATAATGTCCACTGGATCCCCCTTATCCACATGCTTGTTGACCCCCTCAAAGAATTCTAGTAGATTGGTGAGGTCTAACTTCCATTTACAAATCCATGTTGACTCTTCCCCAACTAATTATGTTCATCTATGCGTCTGACAATTTTGTTCTTTACTATAGTTTCAGTCAGTTTGCCTGGTACTGAAGACAGGCTTACCGGCCTGTAATTGCCGGGGTCACCTCTGGAGCCCTTTTTAAAAATTGGCATCACATTAGCTATCCTCCAGTCATTTGGTACAGAAGCTGATTTAAATAATAGGTTATAGACTACAGTTAGTAGTCCTGCAATTTCACATTTGAGTTCTTTCAGAACTCTTGGGTGAATACCATCTGGTCTTGGTGACTTATTACTGTTTAGTTTATCAAATTTGTTCCAAAACCTCCTCTAATGACACCTCAGTCTGGGACATTTCCTCAGATTTGTAACCTAAAAAAAATGGCTCAGGTTTGGGAATCTCCCTCACATCCTCAACCGTGAAGACCGATGCAAAGAATTCATTTAGTTTCTCCACAATGGCCTTATCCCTGAGTGCTCCTTTAGCACCTCAATTGTCCAGTGGCCCTACTGGTTGTTTAGCAGGCTTCCTGCTTCTGATGTACTTAAAAAAAATTGTTTTGAGTCACCAGCTAGCTGTTCTTCAAGTTCTTTTTTGGCCTTCCTAATTATATTTTTACACTTCATTTGCCAGAGTTTATGCTTCTTTCTATTTTCCTCACTAGGATTTAACTTCCACTTTTTAAAGGATGTCTTTTTGCCTCTCACTGCTTCTCTTACTTGGTTGTTTAGCCACTGTGGCTCTTTTTTGGTTCTCTTACTAGGTTTTTTAATTTGGGGTATACATTTAATTTGAGCAGCCTCTATTACAGTGTCTTTTAAAAGTTTCCATACAGCTTGCAGGGATTTTACTTTTGGTGCTGCACCTTTTAATTTCTGTTTAACTAACCTCCTCATTTTTGTGTAGTTCCCCTTTCTGAAATTAAATGCTACAGTGTTGGGCCGCTGTGGTGTTTTCCCTGCCATAGGGATGTTAAATTTAATTACCGTATACAGGTGAGTCTGATCTTACGCAGGGGTTCCGTTCCGCGGTTAGCGCGTAAAGCGAAAACCGTGTATAGTCAAAATTACATTGAGTTGAATGGCGGGCGGAATCGCCCACACTACAAGTACAGTATTAAAATTGTTATTTTTCTTTTTTTGTTTTTGTTTTTGCTGACCGCGTAAAGCTGAAATTGCACATGTTAAATGCGCGAAAGATGCGACAGACCTGTATATTCGTTCATAAGCTGAATATTTTTGGTAAAGAAGTAACGCATCAAAGAGCATCACAGAGCGGGGGTCGGCTTATAAACGGGTCTACACCAAAACTGAATATCTAATACATTGTCGTTTTGTTTACCTGAAGCGTCTGCAGGCATGGAGCCCCTCAGCTCCCTGTGGCCGCGGTTCGCCGTTCCCAGCCAATGGGAGTTGCGGGAAGTAGAGCTGAGGGGCTCCACCTGCAGATGCTCCAAGTAAACAAAACGTCCCGACGCGCCAGCAGCTTACACTGACGGCCGGGAGCCAAAGTTCGCCAATCCCTGAAATATAGGGTTGTCTTATGAAAGGGTCATACAGTTTTTGCTATTTTTACCTAACCATCTTGGGGAGTCGGCTTATAAACGAACAGGCTAATGAACAAGTATATACGGTATATTATGGTCACTATTACCAACCGGTTCAGCTATATTCACCTCATGGACCAGATTCTGTGCTCCACTGAGGACTAACTCAAGAATTGCCTCTCCTCTTGAGGGTTCCAGGACTAGCTGCTCCAAGAAGCAGTCATTTAAGGTGTCAAGAAACTTAATCTCTGCATCCCATCCTGAGGTGATACGTACCTAGTCACTATGGGGATAGTTGAAATCCCCCATTATTACTAAGTTTTTTATTTTAATAGCCTCTCTAATCACCCTGAGCATTTCACAGTCACTATCACCATCCTGGTCAGGTGATCGGTAATATATCTCTAATGCTATATTCTTATTATTTGAGCATGAAATTACTATCCATAGAGAGTCTATGGTACAGTTTGGTTCATTTAAGATTTTTACTTCATTTGATTCTACGCTTTCACATATAGTGTCACTCCCCCACCAGCACAACCTGTTCTGTCCATCAGATATATTTTGTACCTTGGTATTACTGTGTCCCATTGATTATCCTCATTCCACCAAGTTTCTTTGATGCCTATTATATCAATATCCTAATTTAATATGAGGCACTCTTGTTCACCCATCTTATTTAGACTTCTAGCATTGGTATACAAGCACTTTAAAAACTTGTCACTTTTTAGCTGTCACCCATTACATGATGTACAGTAACACTTAAAGTCGTCCCGGTTAACATTGTTTCGTTGCTGATCAATTAGAAACATGTTCGTTTAAAGTTGTGCAATGCTCCCTTCTAACGTCATTTAGCAGCCGCCTGCTTTGTCTACTGTTTGCAGGAAGAGCAGCCCATTGCAGCTAGCTGGTGGGGGCTTGGAACCAGGGTGGACCGGCAGCCCTCCTGTCAGCTCTCCCTATCAGCTCCCCGCTCCCCTAAGTTCCCTGTGCAGCAGCTGCCCAGCAGGCTAGCAATTGCAGCTGTGTCCCCGTCCCCCCCCCCCCCCCCCACTACCATGTGCTGCTCCTGCCCTCTGCCTTGGAGCTCGCCTCCCCGAGACTCCTGCTTGCTG